ACAAACAACTCTATTCCTATCACTTTGGTCTATTAATAATTTAAAGAACCTATCAGAACTCAGTGAAAAAGAAACCGCTAGAATAGACATATCTATTACAGATATGGAATTTGAAGTTAAATACCTTCCAAAAAGAAAACTCTAGGCCCAGTTGGTTTCACTGGAGTATTCTATCAAACATTCAAGGAAGAAATAATGCCAGTTTTTACATAATCTTTTTCAGAAAATAGAAGACAGAAGAAAATAGAAGAAGGCAGTTTTGAAAAGGAAACTCCCAGACTCCTTTTATGAGCCCATTATTACCTTCATACTGAAACAAGATAAATACAGTTCAAGAAAACTACAGACCAGGATCCATTGCCAACATATTTGTAAAATCCCCAGTTATATATCACCAAATCAAAACCAGTAACGTATAAAAAGGACAAATATATCACAACCAAGTATGAGTTATCCTAGGAATGCAAGGCTGGTTCAATATGTGAAAGTCAGCCACATTTATTCACCATATTAACAGAATAAAAAAGACAAACCCAACAGGTTATTTTAATAGATGGAGAAAAAGCATGTGACAAATCGAACACCCACACATGATAAATGCTCAAAAATTAGAAGTGGAAAAGGGATTTCATTAACCTAACAAAAAAGGAATCTATTATGCTTGATGGTGAGAGAATGCTTCCACCCTAACCTGGAGAATAGGTGAAGGGTATCCACTAACCACATCTTAACATCAAACTGAAAGTCCTGCAGTGCAATAGGCAAGAGAAATAAAAGACATAACAGATTGGAAAGGAAGAAATAAAACTCTATTTGCAGATGACAGGATTGTCTAACAGAAAAATTCCAAAGAATCTATAAAAAAGCTTCTACTGACTTTAGCAAGGTTATAAATACATGGTCAACATATAAGACCAGTTAAAGTTCTATGTACTAACAAGGAGCAGTTGGAACAGAATTTTTTTTAATTAAACTTCTATGTAAATTTTTTATTAAACTATATAAAATACTTATATAAAAAAATCCAACAATATGTGGAACAATCCATATGTAGAGAACTTCAAGACACTGATAAAAAGAAAAAACTTTAAGAAGTACTAAGTAAATGAAAAGATATATCCTGTTCATGGTTTGGAATACACAATATTATCAGTTCTCCCCAGTTTGATCTGTACATTTAATGTCATTCTAAGTAAACTCTCAACAAGATTTTGTTTCTGAATAGGTATCATCAGATGGATCCCCAAACTTCTATGGGGGAAAAAAAGAAACTAAAACAGCCAAAACCATTTTGAAAAAGAGTAGCAGTGTTAGAGGACTCATTCTCTCTGATTTCAGGACTTAACTGTGAAGCCACTGTAGTTAAGACAGTGTGACGCTGGTGAAAAGATCAGTGGACAGATGAGAGAGCTACAAAACAGACCTGCACAAATACAGTCAGTTTTTGAGGTGCAAGATCAAATCAATGGACAAAAGGTAGCTTTTCAAAAAAAAAAGAAAAAATGGTACTGCACAATGAGACATCCACATATGTAAAAAATGAACCTTGGCATACTGCTCACATGTTATACAAAAGTTAACTCAAAATTGGTCATAAACCTAAATATAAAACTTAAAACTACAAACTTTTAGAAGAAAACCTAGGAGAAAACCTTTGTGATCTTGGGTTTGGCAAAAAGGTTTTAGATCCGACATCAAAAGTGTAATCCATAAAAAAAATTGACTTTAAAAAGTGGACTTTATAAAAATTAAAAACTTCTTGAAAGACATTGCTAAGATAGTATTTACAAGTTATAGATAAAATTAAAGATGTCTTGAAAGATGTTGGTAAGACAATGAAAATATTTACAAATTATAGATAAAATTCATATCCTGAATACTTAAAAAAACTGTCAAAATTTAACAATGAGAAGATAATCCATTCAAAAAATGGTCAAGAGACCTGACACTTCTCCAGTGAAGTACATACAGATGGCAAATAGCATGGGAAACAACACTCAATTTCAGATGTTATGAAGTTAAAACCACATGAGAGGGGCACCTGGGTGGCTCAGCTGGTTGAGTAACTGCCTTCTGCTCAGGTCATGATCCTGGAGTCCTGAGATTGAGTCCTGAGTTGGGCTCCCTGCTCAGTGGGGAGTCTCCTTCTCCCGCTGACCTCTCTCCTTTAATGCTCTCTCTCTCTCAAATAATAAAATCTTAAAAAAAAAAAAAAAACGCATGAGATACCTTCACACACCCATTAGAATGGCTAAAAGTAAAAAAAAATACTGGGAATGCCAAGTTCTGGCAAGAATGCAGAAGAACCAGAGCCCCCAGGCAGTGCTGAAGGCAGTGTGGAATTATACAGCCTCTTTAAAAAGTTTGGCAGTTTTTGGGACGCCTGGGTGGATCAGTTGGTTATGCGTCTGCCTTCGGCTCAGGTCATGATCCTCGGGTCCTGGGATCAAGTCCGGCATCAGGCTTCTTGCTCAGTGGGGAGCCTGCTTCTCTCTCTCCCTCTGTCTGCCACTCTACCTGCTTGTGCACACTCTCTTTCTCTGACAAATAAGTAAAATCTTAAAAAAAAAAAAAAAAAGTTTGGCAGTTTCTTATAAATTAAACATACTCTTACCATATGACTCCGCAATTCCATTCTTATTTACTCAGGTAAAAGAAAAACTCAAATTCACACATGAACTTGTCTGTGTATGTTTATCACAGTCGTTTGCACCCATCCCAAATTGGAAACAACCTAGATGTCATTCAACAGTGAATGGATGTGTGTAACCGATTTTTAACCATTTTTAAATGTACAGTTTGGTGGCATTAAATCCATTCACCAGTAGGTGAAAGTGTGAGAGAAAGCCTGCATGGCCTCAAAGTGCGACTTTGAAACATTTATTGTTTACATCATGTATTACATGTAAAATAGTAACTTTATGTGGAAGAAACCTGGCAGACAGACCTTAACCAGTGATCAAGGCTGACACACCAGCAGTGAACATGTCAAGGTCATATCCCCTTGGTGTGAGGTACTGAGAAGGGCACAGCACCTCTGTGGGAATCTTCCCCAAGAGGCACAGCCTCAGGCTCATCATGATAGAACATCAGGGCAACTCAGGTTGAGGGGCATTTCCACAGAATTCCTGTCCTGTACTCTTCACAAGAATTGAGGTTGGGAAAGACACACTGACAACTAAAATCACTGTGAGACCCCGGGTTGGACCCTGGAGCAGAAAATTTCACAGAGAAGCTAGTTTCCCCTGTGCATTTCCTAGTTTTCTTTGTTCTGTTAATAGTTCTGTAAGGTGTTACATCCGTAGAAGCAGGGTGGAGGGTAAACGGGAACTCTACTCTTTCTGTAACCCTCTTCAAGGTTAAAATTATGTAGAAATTAGGGGCGCCTGGGTGGCTCAGTGGGTTAAAGCCTCTGCTTTCGGCTCAGGTCATGATCCCAGGGTCCCGGGATCAAGCCCCACATCAGGTTCTCTGCTCAGCAGGGAGCCTGCTTCCCCCTCTCTCTCTCTGCCTGCCTCTCTGCCTACTTGTGATCTCTGTCAAATAAAAATCAAATAAAATCTTAAAAAAAAAATTATGTAGAAACTAAAAGTATAGGAGCTCCTGGCTGGCTCAGTTGGTGGAGTGTGTGACTCTTGATCTCAGGGTCATAAATTCAAGACCCCTATTTTTATTATCTTAAAGATAATCTTTTTAAGTATAGAAGTTTGGGGAGCCTGGGTGGCTCTTTTGGTTAAGCGACTGCCTTCAGCTCAGGTCATGATCCCAGCGTCCTGGGATCGAGCCCCACATCGGGCTCCCTGCTCAGTGGGGAGCCTGCTTCTCCCTCTTTCTCTGCCTGTGTGGGTGTGTGTGTCAAATAAATAAATAAAATCTTAAAAAAAAAGTTAATAAGTGACAGTTAAACAGGCCTTTTTCTGTAATCCCCTCTGGAAATGAAGCAGCATCTGCCAGGCAGCTAAGATGACCTTCACTAACAGCAACAACGGTAGCTAAGTCGGCTTCTCAGCAGTGTTTGACATAACTTGGGTTATGTCACATAACTGGGTCATTCCTTGACCCAGTTTCCCCATCTTGATTTCCATGACGCCATGTTGGCGGGCTCTCTCTTACCTTTCTCCATGCGCTTTCTCAGCCTCCATTCTTGGCTTGTCGTCCACACAAGATTTAAGTTTGTCCCGGTTCCAACCTGAGGCCTTGTGTCTTCTCTCTGTACCCTGTCTGTCCAGTATGGTAGCTACTTTCCACACTCTAAATTCAAAATAGTTACAGATAAATAAGTCTTAAAATTTAGTTGCTCAGTTGCTGTAGCCACATTGCAAGTGCTTCATGGCCACCTGTGGTGTTGGTGGCCGCGGTGCGGGGCAGCACAGATGCAGGGCGTTTCTGTCACTGCAGAAAGTCCTGTTGGACACAGGTCTGGAGGGCACTGCCTTGCACTTCACTCTGTCTGGTCACCCTAACCCCGGTAAGGCCACCATCGGTCACTTGGTAGGTAGTGTCAGCTCAGAATCATGAAGTCCTCATTAGCCTTCCACCTGATAGTTTTACTATTAATCTTTGCCTGACACGTCTGTTTCACTCCTTTTTTGTAAAAAAAAACAAACAAACAAACAAAAAAAAAAACATTCATTTAATCATTCCCTATGGATATCTTTCTGTATTGGTGCATTTTTTAGAGCTGAGTTCGTCTTTAATAGCTACATATTATTCTCTTGAATGTATAATGCTAAAGGACCTGATCTAGTTTGTTGGGTAAGTTCTTAGATATGTAATAGATTTTTTTAGAGATTTTATTTACTTATTTGACAGAGAGAGACACAGTGAGAGAGGGGACACGGGCAGGGGGAGTGGGAGAGGGAGACGCAGGCTTCCTGCTGAGCAGGGAACCCAATTGGAACCCAATTCCAGACTCCAAAGGCAGACGCTTAACAACTGAGCCACCTGCGCGCCCCAAGTATATAATGTTTTTAATTACACATCCTTTTGTTCTATTTCAGATGAACAGAAGGCCTCATCTACCTACCAGACATTAAAAAACAACAGTGTGCCCATGGAGTCTTATGAAGACTGGAGAAAAGACCAGCATAACCCATCGTACCAGCAAATAAACTGCATTGACAGTGTTATCAGGTGTGAGACGCGAGTGTTGAGAACATGTCCGTTTCCTGAAAGTATACATCATCATTGTAGCACACACCTTACATTCCTTTAATTACTGGTTGTCTTGATTTTTCACTCCTAAGTCACTAGATATTTATGGAGTGCCTACTTACATATAGTTTATAATAAATTGAGCATTTCAAGGGCTGCAATAAATTAGAAGATGGATCCCTTCTTTGAAGGAGCAATGGCGTGGTTGAGAAGACAAGACCTTGATCATAAAAATTAAATGAAGCAAGATTTGGAGATCAATACAAGGTCACAGTAAAAGAGATATGACAGGCCAGTGATTCAGGCTGGGACGGTCAGGGAAGACCTCATTAAACACGAGAGTACAAAGTACCCACACAGAAGTGCTGTGAGAAAAGCAGAAATGTGGGAAGTGGCAGAGTTAGGGGACAGGCAGGCATGCATGACCTCATTCTGTTGTTGCAGATACCTGAAGAGCTACAACATTCCAGCTTTGAAAAGAAAGTGCGTATCCTGTACCAATACAACCTCTTCCTCCTCCGAAGAAGACAGACACAACCACAAGGCAAATGATGCTGAAGCGTTGCACGGTAACACGAGTGCCCTCCTCGATGGACAGAGGATGATTACAAAGCTATCCCTTTCTGTTTCTAAATTTTTATCTTATTTCATTAATCACAAATGAGCCTGAGTTTCCTGCGGCTCTTTTATGGCCAAGAAGTTTTAGCTCGTCTGTCGCAAACATCTGCCAACTGAGTCTTCATTGTAAATTTCCTGTGGGGATTTTTCTTTTCATTGTGACTTTCTCTTTCGCCCCCAGTGGTGTCTCAGATCCCAGCCATAGCCAACCTGGAGATGCCCACCACCGGGCGGCCCGCACTCGCTGCAGGAGGCACTCCGAGGACCCTGGCCCCCATGGCGCTGAGCCTGGGCTCTGGCCTGAACCCGTGCAGCTACCGCAGCCCGCTCATTCCCGCCCCACCACCAGAGACAGGTGCCGCTTCACCTTCTGCTCTCAAGTACACTCGGCGGGAATTACACTACCGTGAGAAAACGAAAGTCCTTAACATCAATTACTTAGGAACGACTTCTAAATTATAATTACTTTTTCCTTTCTTTGACTCAGTTAAAGAACTTTTGGAAATACTGTCATGTTTATATTGGTTACATAGTTGGGACTGTATTTCTAAGTCATTGTCATTTGTTGTCACATCAGTGGGTGTGTGGGAAGCACTTAGAAACAGTACCTGATAACATAGTAGTAAGTCCTCAGTTAGTGTTAACCGTCACTAATGAAGTTTCCTGTAGGGCTGCATTAGGTCACTTTGTTGCTGCCCTTGAAAGAAGGTGTGCTGGTCAGACTCCGTGGTTGTGACTGGATTGTCCAGTATACATCCACATTTTCCTATTGGCCTGATGATAATGAGGAGGGTGTGTTTAAAATCTCTTTTAATAACATAATGACTTGGTAAATTACTCTGATGTCTTCTTTTTGTTCCTTTTTACTGCCTCCCATCCTTTGACTTTGTCATTATAACAATTTGGTGGACAAGAACTGGTGACAAAAGTGTTAAATCAGGTTTTTTAGTTCCTTTGCTAGTCTTCAGTGGCAGATCGTCAACGCACGTGGAGCTATTACTCTGTGCCGCCATCTATCCCACGTCCTTCATAGGAATTAACTCCCTTAATCCTCACACTGACCCTTGGAGATAGAGAGTATAGTATTGATGGGTGGGCTGGGGGTCGGTGGGAAGACACCAGAGGCACAGCTGTTGGGAGATTAGATTATGTTTCTAATAAACTGAAAATAGTTCTATCGGAGCTGAGCTTGTCCCTCAGGAAGGGGAAGATGCACATTTTTTGGTGTCCCTTTCTTAATACTTTCAACTCCCATGTGGACATACAGCTGCCAGTGATAGTCCGTACAAAGTCTCATCCAGCGGGGAAAGATTTTTAAACTTTTTGTACTGTGGTATATATTACCATTTTGAAAGAACTCATACTGAAGTCTCTAAGCTTTCATTTCAGGGAATATTTACTGATAATTGTTTCTCCTGATCTAAACCAGTCACAGCATCGGTGGCGCCACCTCTTTATTCCAAGGACAGGAAACAGAATCAGGACATCTGTAGAGTATCCATATGACTTCTGCTTTCTGAAAAGCTTATATTCCTGCAGCTTACGCCGTGACTCTACTTACAAATGGGGTCTGAGGACTTTGACCACATATACGTTTCCCTGCCAGTCGTGATCTCCATTATGTATACAGAGCAGTTAGGGCACAAACAGATTAAGTCCCTTAACTTGTCCAAACTCAAACAGCAGATGAGTGGCAGAGTAGGGAATCAGACATTAATAAGTAGCCTCCAGAAACCATTCCATTAACACATATTTTTGAATCTGTAGTAGGGTCAAGTTGGAGTGTGAAATAAAGCCAGGAGATAATGTGTGATTTTAAGAAATACACAAACCTAGGTGGCTCAGTCAATTAAGCATCCGACTCTTGGTTTCAGTTCAGGTCGTGATCTCAGGGTCATGGGATCAAGCTCCGCCCTGGGTGTGGAGCCTGCTTGAGGTTCTCTCTCCCTCCTCTCTCTCCCCCCTCTGTCGCCCCACTCACGTGCGTGCTTGCTCTAAGAAAAAATGATAAGCACACAAATCATCCAAAAGAAGGGCAGAAAAGGAGGAAGAGAGCAACAGCCATCACCACCAGAGGGCGTATGTCAAACGAATAATAATCACTCTAAACCCGACTATGTCTACTCCCATTAAAAGGCAGAAATTGTCAGAACAGATTAAAGAAAAGAAAAGACCCAGCCGTATACTGTGGGGAATTACAGCTTAAATAAAAATCCGCAAATGGATTGAGAACAAAAGGGGAAAGAAGCACAACACGAATGAGAAGCTTAAGAAGGCTGGCGAGCCCGTATGATTCAGACTTTAAGACAGGGTCTTCCCAAAGACCCTTTGTGGTGGCAAACTGTTTACCGGGGAGACACGGCGATCCGAATATATTATACATATTTGCTAATAACGAAGCTTCCAAGATAGGAGGTAAAAATAGAGTTAAAGAGAGAAATAGACTTTCCATAACCATAGTTGAGGAATGTAACACCCCTTCTGCACAGTTGATAAAACATCTAGACGGTTAAGTAAAATTTTAAAAAATCTGGACAGAAAATGAGTAAAGCAGATGATCTGAGTGATGCTGTCAACGACATTGACTAGTTGACCTGAGAGAACACAGTATCCGATACCTGCACAATACTCATTCTTCTCAAGCGCTCACGATATGTTCGCTGAGATATAGAATATGTTGGGCTGTCATAGGTCTCAAATTTAAAATGACTAGGGATCAGCGAAGCCATGTGGGGTTAGAGTTTTCCTGGCCAAGTGTTGAACTGCAGATTCAGTTTCTGCCATAGACACAGGGCTGTTCAGGGTTTCTGTTTGTTGAGTGAACTTAGTTCGTGTCTTTCAAAGAATTGGTGTATTTTGTCTACGTTGTTAGGTTTATTGGAATAAAAGTGTTCATGATGTTCCCTTATTCTTCTTTTGACACCTGTTAGATCTCTAATGATGCTCCTCTGTCATTTCTGAGGTTGGCACCTTCTGTCTTTCTCTTTCCCCTGATCTGTCTGGCTGGGGTCTGATTGATTTGATTGGACTTCTCAAAGCACAGGCTTACGATTGCACTGGCTTTGTTCATTGTTTTCCTGTTTGCTACGTCACTGACGTCTGCTCTGGTCTTTGTTATTTCCTTTCTTCTGCTTACTTTGCTTCTTATCTTCCTCTTCTTTTTCCAGTTTTTCAACTGGAATAATCAGATTTCAGACATTTTTTTTCCTACTGGAATTTAATACAAATTAAAATCTGCATCCCATACATTTTGATGGATTGTGTCATTTTCATCGTGTTCTGATACTGTCTACTACCCCCAGCTGTCTCCTTTGAAATCACTCATCATCACGTGTCTCTGTGTTTGTTTTTTATCATACATTACTTCAGCACCACAGATTTGGGGGTTTTCCACGGCTCTGTTACTGATTTCTATTTTAATCCCATTGCGGTCAGAGAAAATGCAAAACCCGAATTTTTCTCTTATTTGTCGAGACTTGTTTTCTGGTCTGTGATACGGTTCTCTGGTGACTGTTCTGTGCGCACTGGGAAGAACGTTTATTCTGCTGCTGTTGGGTTGAATGTTCTCTGTGTAAACTAAGTCAGGGTGGTTGATACTGTTGTTCAGGTCCTGTCTGTCCTTACTAGTTTTCTCAGTACTTGTTCTGCTTCAGAAGAACAGAAATCTCTGACCTTAACTGTGGATTTGTCTGTTTCTTCTTGTGGTACTGCTGGTTTTTGCTTCGTGCATTTTGAAAGCACTCTTATTTTGTGCACAGATGTTTAGAGGTGTCATGTCTTCTTGATGAATTGGCCTTTTTTTTCTTGTGAAATGACCTTCTTTATCCCTTGTACATTCTCTGCTCTAAAATATACTTTGTCTGGGTGCCTGCAGGGCTCAATAGTTTAAGCATCCGCCTTTGACTCAGGTCATGATCTCAGGGTCCTGGGATCGAGCCCTGCATCAGGGTCCCTGCTCCACGGGGAACCTGCTTCTCCCTCTCCCTCTGCTTCTCCCCTCAGTGAAGAAATAAAATTTTTTAAAAAAATAAAACAATAAAATACACTTTGTCTTGTATTAATGTATTCACTCTAGCATTTTTTTTTAAATTAGTGCCAGCATGTTACATCTTTTCCACCTTTTTACTTTTGACCTGGGTATGTTAATATTTAGAGTGGGCTTTGTTTTAGTGGTTGCTTTGGGGCTCCTGGTGTACACATTCAATTGTTCACAGCCCACCTTCTGGAAATATTATATCACTTCATGTATAGTATAAAAACCCAACAATAGGGTACTTCTGCTTCCCCCTTCTGGCATTTGTTTGTTGGCTTATGTTTTCCTTCTACATATGTTGTAAGTCCCACCCTACGCTGCTGTCATTCTTGTGTAGGTAGTGGTAATTTCTGCAACTGTTTACCCATGTAGTTAGCTCTTCCAGTGGTTTCATTCTGTTTTGTAGACTCACCTGGGATCATTCTCCTTCTCCCTGCCTGAGTTTCTTGACTATTTCTTGTCCCATGGGTCTAGTGGTAGTGAAGCCTTTCTGTTTTCGTGTGTCTGAAAATGTCTTTGCTGTCCCCTCGTGGTGTAAAGGTTTGCTGGCAGAGCATAGAATTCTAGTTGGAAGTTTCACTTTCCAGTACTTTAAAGATGTTGCTCCACTGCTTCCCAGTGCCCTGTTTTCAATGAAATCTACTACCGTGGTTTGCTTGCGGCATGGCTTCTCTCTGGCTGCTTGTAAGAGGTTCTCTCCTTTTTTTGTTAAGATTTTACCTGCCAGAGAGAGAGAGAAAGCAAGTGCTCGAGAACAAGTGTACAAACGGGGAGCAGCAAGCACCCCGCTGAGCAGGGAGCCCAACATGTGACTCAGTCCCAGGACCCTGGGATCATGACCTGAGCTGAAGGCAGACACTTAACCACTGAGCCATCCAGATGTTCTCTTTATCACTGATTTGCACGGTTTGAGTATGATATGCCAAGATACCCTGTCCTTCTGGTTCATTGGGCTTCATGGATTTGTAGGTTTACAATTTCCAGCAAATTGAAAGTCTTCCCTCCCAATTTTTTCCAGTACTGCTTCTCTCTCCTCTTTTCCTGCGACTTCAGTTACGTGCATATAGGCAGCCTGTGGTTGTTCCACAGTCCACTGACACTGGGTTCAGTTTTCCAGTCTTTTTTCTCCCCCTCTAAATTTGGTTTTGGATAGGCTCCTGCTGGGTCTTCATGTTCGCGAATCTTTTCTAATGCGGTATCTGTCACTTGTATTTCCATTCAGTGTATTTCTCATCTCAGGTATTGTAGTTTTCACTTTGAGAGGTTCTGTTCGGGCCTTTTCTTTTGTTACATCTTCCGTGTCTCTGACACGTTTGATCTTC